ATCTTAGTGGGAAAACGTATGCAAATATGAAAGGTGTTAAAGAGGACATCGACATTTTTTTTTTTTTGCTTCCAAGCCAAGTGATTACTTTAATCAGGGCATTAACAACCTAATTGTAAGATGGCAAAACATCATCGATAAGAGTAGAGACAATTTCATTTCATAAATGTTTTGTTTTGATATACAAGTTGTTAGGATTTTCCATCTAAAAGAGCGACATTAATTTCTTGACGACCTAATATTTATTATTTTAATGTTAATGCAGGTAAAAAAAAGAAAAATTTAGTTTCATTATAATTGATTCAAAGTGTTTGTTTATTGTTAATTCATTAGGCAAGAAAAATACTTAGATTAGTCTTGAAAATAATGGAAATAGCCTGACATTTCAGGATAGAAAATGTAAATGATCTTTAGATTAACTCATAGTTCATACTAATTTGTACATACGTCTTTACCACTCCTATACTTTGGTATGTTCCACATCAGTGGATGAGCAATTTTAAGGTCTATCAAGTAGCTTATGCTGGGTATAACCCTATCCTGAGATGTGGATTGGTGCAAGTTTACACTATCACAAGAATGTCAGATAAATGCAGAACACTTGGATGATAATTGAGAAAAAAAAATATGAATAACTGATAAAGAAATTCTCTCATACGTTATGAAAGGGTGAAATATGGTAGTTTTTAACTGTTACATCCCCCCCTTTTTTCTGGGGCGTAACCTTAACATTTCAATGTGATGCGGTTGAATTAAGTAACTGACATAGTTGTATGTTTCATGAATTACCTCTGTATTAAACATACAGGTTAAAAGAAATTGCTTTAAATTAAAATTAGTTTTAAAACAGATTGTTAAAAATAAAACGTTAAGTAGAATTGAATACGGAAATGAATAATATCGCAAAATAATACCATTTAAAATTTAAATTGGTTACAGAACAAAGTAAAATAACATTCATCACAACAGAATATTATAGAGGAATAACAAAAGGGTCGGGGTAAGAACACGAGTGAAAATAGTTTGAATTGGTTTACACACCTAAAACTTTCAAAAACTCGTAAATAATCGCAATGAAATTAAAATCTCATATTTTGATGTTTTAAGTACTGCTTTTATTATTAGATGAGATAAATAGAAAATTGTAAAAATAATTAAGTTTTTTCTTTGTTTAATGTAGAGAACATAGTACACGTTTCAACAGAAAGTTGGTCTGTCTTCAGGTAGGATGTACAGCTGTGCATACGGGGTTTATCATGGAGTCGATAGATTGTATGTAGGGATGGTCAAGGTACTCAATGGGCATAATACAAATATGGACGTTAAACAGTGACAGAGTTTTACTTTAAAAGATACAAAGCCAGAAAGTAACCAACCAACCAAAGTGTTCATATTTTTTTTCTTACTTCAGTCGAGGTAACTCAACAACTCCTTTATCACCAACATCAGTTTAAACCTAAATCCACTCTGTGTGTTTCTGGGCAGTGTACGATGTCATCACTTAGTTACAAAAACTAGTACTAATTAGAAAAGAAAAAAAATCATTTTATCATTACCCCTTCAAATTAGCTTTCTTACAGAAATCTAATATTCCTTTAAAAAGCTTAAGTACAGGATGAAACAGGAATTACCAGACAATAATTGACGACGGAGAAAGAAAAGGCAGCCTGTATTAAAGCAATATAAAAGTCATCTGGATATTTTCTTTACAGGCCAGTAGGAGCTAGGTAAGAAAACTACCTGGCATAGCCGCTTTTCAGCTACCCAGAGCGTTAAAAGTCGAAACCGAGATTTCTTATTTTCTTTCGTTATCTTTCTTCAACAGGCCTAGCGCCTACCTAGTTCTAGCAGTAACTATAATTTTATCATCGTTTCATAGAGCAAACAACAGTCTTCACGATCTTGGACTACCTATTTTATTATCATTCTATGCAAAATTTATAAAGTATTAGAATACACTCTATAACATAGTAGCCCACGTACGCCATCTTATTAAACAAGTATTAGGAGAAACATATATCGATAACTAAAAATGCTATGTACAGCTGGCTAATAAACTTGAAAAGAAGAACCAATCAAAATAGGGATGAAAGTAGACATCACCTGATCATGTAGCAGACCAAGCCGTCTCGACTTTACATGGAGAATATAATCCCTACATCATTGACAAAACAAATAGAGCCAGAATTTACCATAGTAAATTGCTACTCTATTGTAAAGCCGGGAGGGTGTGTGTGTGTGCGAACGACCCACTTTTAATATTTTGAAAGTCATGTACGGATGATCTATTATAACTACATATATCATCCCTATATTCTTGTTTGCATTCTTTTTGGTACTGCCATCCCTACATCAATTTAAATTTACAAAATTTTTGTTATTACTTTTGATATATAGAAATGTTTTTCCACATGAGGCAGTGAAATTACCAAGCTTATGACTTAAAGAATAGGTCGGGGCTGAACTTATTAAAGCAGGCGATTTTTCACTTGGCTTTCTTTAAAAGAACACCAAATATGTTCTGCTAACATCAAAGGGTAATGATAACATCGTTTACGCTAGAATTATGATGTTTTTTAGATTATGTAAAAAATATAGAAGAAACAAATCAACTTTTTAATATCCCTACGACCTTTGTAGTACCTTATTCGGTATTCTACAAAAGCATTGGTTGCAATATACCAAGCCGTTTTTGTTGTAAGCTGGCAAGAGAATAATAATTACAAACGGGCCGTTTTAGGCGGATTTTCTTTTCCTTGAAGTCTAACATACGCGCTTTTTTAGCATTTTTATATGTATACAGCCTAAGCAATCATTAGTAAAGCTTTTAAAGTATTGTTTGAACTGAATATTTACTGTTTAAGGTGTCTTTCGCCCCGCACATTCTTTTAGGGTTTTGTGCAATTCCTTGCGATCCCTATTATGAACCACTATCGTGGCTCATGATGATGGAAAGGTTAAACCTCAACAATTACCAGTCCGAATTAAAGGAAAGAAAAACGTGGTAATTGTTATGAGACAGAAACTGATTATGTTTATATATTAAAAAATCAACAATAACATATAAATAATAATAATCGGTGAACATAAGACCTAATTTTTTTTTTTTCTACAACAATCATGTGACTAACTTTATACATTGTTTGCTTTTCAGATCATCTATGCTTACTTGGGTATTCTCATGGGATTCAGAAGTGACAAATAACCAAATCTTGTTTTTATTTTGCTGTCTTTCCTTGCAATGAAATAGGAAAGACTGGATTACTAGCCGTGGGTGTTTCAAAACGTAATTAATGGTTTTACTTATAAAGTTGTCTTATTACTTCTCTTTTAAGATTTTCTTAAATTTAAACAATCTTATTAAATTTGTATAACTTACACTCCTTAAAAAGTTTAAAACTAGTACATATAATAATATTTCTGGTTATTTTTCAGGTAAACATCATATATTTTCAGTGGATGTGCTCTACTGGACTCTTACTTCACATACCAAATTTCAACGCAATCTATTAAGAAATAACTGAGATATAACATCTTCAATTTTGATTGAGTTTATTCTTTTGTTTTTCTTTTTCTTCGCGCCAAAAGTACGGAAACTTTATTTGATAGAAAAACATTCTTAGCTTTTATTGATTTTTTTAAAATTTGCTACACTGATAGATCTCTTTAACCTTCAATTAGGAGTCTCATTTAGTGCCTGATCTCCTGATCGG